CAGATTACGGGCCTCCCATAGCTGCTGCCAGGCCCCTAATCTGCCATGGGCCCCTGTACCGCCTCCTCATGCTGCTGCTCAGGTCCAGCTGCTCATGGGTCCCTGTCCGGCCTCCCATTGCTGCTGTCTCCATCGCCACACTCTGCCATGTGCCACTTTCAGGTCTCCTCACACTGCTGGTGTGTTCCCTTTTTTGACATAGGGTGCTGGCAGATTACGGGCCTCCCATAGCTGCTGCCAGGCCCCTAATCTGCCATGGGCCCCTATACCCACCGCCTCCTCATGCTGCTGCCAGGTCCAGAGTCTCTCATGGGTCCCTGTACGGCCTCCCATTGCTGCTGTCTCCATCGCCACACTCTGCCATGTGCCACTTTCAGGTCTCCTCACACACTGCTGGTGTGTTCCATTTTTTGTCATAGGGTGCTGGCAGATTACGGGCCTCCCATAGCTGCTGCCAGGCCCCTAATCTGCCATGGGCCCCTATATACCGCCTCCTCATGCTGCCAGGTCCAGAGTCTCTCATGGGTCCCTGTACGGCCTCCCATTGCTGCTGTCTCCATCGCCACACTCTGCCATGTGCCACTTTCAGGTCTCCTCACACTGCTGGTGTGTTCCATTTTTTGTCATAGGGTGCTGGCAGATTACGGGCCTCCCATAGCTGCTGCCAGGCCCCTAATCTGCTGCCATGGGCCCCTATACCGCCTCCTCATGCTGCTGCCAGGTCCAGAGTCTCTCATGGGTCCCTGTACGGCCTCCCATTGCTGCTGTCTCCATCGCCACACTCTGCCATGTGCCACTTTTTCAGGTCTCCTCACACACTGCTGGTGTGTTCCAATTTTTTGTCATAGGGTGCTGGCAGATTACGGGCCTCCCATAGCTGCTGCCAGGCCCCTAATCTGCCATGGGCCCCTGTACCCCTGCCTCCTGCATGCTGCTGCCTCCAGAGTCATGCTGCTGCCCAGCTGTGTCTCCACAGTGTCTGCCATGTGCCCACTTTCAGGTCTCCTCACACTGCTGGTGTGTTCCATTTTTTGTCATAGGGTGCTGGCAGATTACGGGCCTCCCATAGCTGCTGCCAGGCCCCTAATCTGCCATGGGCCCCTATACCGCCTCCTGCTGCTGCTGCCAGGTCAGAGTCTCACATGCCCTGTACGTCCCATTGCTGCTGTCTCCATCGCCACACTCTGCCATGTGCCACTTTCAGGTCTCCTCACACACTGCTGGTGTGTTTCCATTTTTTGTCATAGTGCTGGCAGATTACGGGCCTCCCATAGCTGCTGCCAGGCCCCTAATCTGCCATGGGCCCCTGTACCGCCCTCCTCATGCTGCTGCCCTGTACGGCCACAGTGCTGCTGTCTCATGCCATGTGCCATGTGCCACTTTCAGGTCTCCTCACACTGCTGGTGTGTTCAATTTTTTGACATAGGGTGCTGGCAGATTACGGGCCTCCCATAGCTGCTGCCAGGCCCCTAATCTGCCATGGGCCCCTATACCGCCTCCTCATGCTGCTGCCAGGTCCAGAGTCTCATGCCATGTGCCCTGTACAGGTCTCCCATTGCTGCTGTCTCCATCGCCACACTCTGTGTGCCACTTTCAGGTCTCCTCACACACTGCTGGTGTGTTCATTTTTTTGTCATAGGGTGCTGGCAGATTACGGGCCTCCCATAGCTGCTGCCAGGCCCCTAATCTGCCATGGGCCCCTATACCCCGCCTCCTCATGGCTGCCAGGTCCAGTACCTGTACGGCCTCCTCATTGCTGCTGCCAGGTCCATCGCCACACTCTGCCATGTGCCACTTTCAGGTCTCCTCACACTGCTGGTGTGTTCCAATTTTTTGACATAGGGGGGCTGGCAGATTACGGGCCTCCCATAGCTGCTGCCAGGCCCCTAATCTGCCATGGGCCCCTATACCTGTACCGCCTGCCAGGTCCATGCTGCCCTGCCAGGTCCACAGTGTCTCATGCCATGTGCCACTTTCAGGTCTCCTCACACTGCTGGTGTGTTCCATTTTTTGTCATAGGGTGCTGGCAGATTACGGGCCTCCCATAGCTGCTGCCAGGCCCCTAATCTGCCATGGGCCCCTATACCGCCTCCTCATGCTGCCCAGGTCCAGAGTCCTCATGGGTCCCTGTACGGCCTCCCATTGCTGCTGTCTCCATCGCCACACTCTGCCATGTGCCACTTTCAGGTCTCCTCACACTGCTGGTGTGTTCAATTTTTTGTCATAGGGTGCTGGCAGATTACGGGCCTCCCATGCTGCTGCCAGGCCCCTAATCTGCCATGGGCCCCTATACCGCCTCCTCATGCTGCTGCCAGGCCAGAGTCTCTCATGCTGCTGCCAGGTCCCATTGCAGTGTCTCATCGCCACACTCTGCCATGTGCCACTTTCAGGTCTCCTCACACACACTGCTGCTGGTGTTCCATTTTTTTGTCATAGGGTGCTGGCAGATTACGGGCCTCCCATAGCTGCTGCCAGGCCCCTAATCTGCCATGGGCCCTGTACCGCCTCCTCATGCTGCTGCCAGGTCCACAGTCTCACTCATGCCATGTGCCACTTTCAGGTCTCCTCACACTGCTGCTGTGTGTTCAATTTTTTGACATAGGGTGCTGGCAGATTACGGGCCTCCCATAGCTGCTGCCCAGGCCCCTAATCTGCCATGGGCCCCTATATACCGCCTCCTCATGCTGCTGCCAGGTCCCAGAGTCCAGAGTCTCATGGGTCCCTGTACGGCCTCCCATTTGCTGCTGTCTCCATCGCCACACTCTGCCATGTGCCACTTTCAGGTCTCTCCTCACACACTGCTGGTGTGTTCCAATTTTTTGTCATAGGGTGCTGGCAGATTACGGGCCTCCCATAGCTGCTGCCAGGCCCCTAATCTGCCATGGGCCCCTATACCGCCTCCTCATGCTGCTGCTGCCAGGTCCAGAGTCTCTCATGGGTCCCTGTACGGCCTCCCATTGCTGCTGTCTCCCATCGCCACACTCTGCCATGTGCCACTTTCAGGTCTCCTCACACACTGCTGGTGTGTTCAATTTTTTGTCATAGGGTGCTGGCAGATTACGGGCCTCCCATAGGCCTCCCATAGCTGCTGCCAGGCCCCTAATCTGCCATGGGCCCCTATACCGCCTCCTCATCATGCTGCTGCCAAGTCCAGAGTCTCTCATGGGTCCCTGTACGGCCTCCCATTGCTGCTGTCTCCATCGCCACACTCTGCCATGTGCCACTTTCAGGTCTCCTCACACACTGCTGGTGTGTTCCATTTTTTGTCATAGGGTGCTGGCAGATTACGGGCCTCCCATAGCTGCTGCCAGGCCCCTATAGCTGCTGCCCAGGCCCCTAATCTGCCATGGGCCCCCAGAGTGTACCGCCTCCTCATTGCTGCTGCCAGGTCCACAGTGTCTCATGCCATGTGCCACTTTCAGGTCTCCTCACACTGCTGGTGTGTTCCATTTTTTGTCTAGGGTGCTGGCAGATTACGGGCGGGCCTCCCATAGCTGCTGCCAGGCCCCTAATCTGCCATGGGCCCCTGTACCGCCTCCTCATGCTGCTGCCAGCTGAGTCTGCTCATGGGTCCCTGTACAGCTGCTGTCTCTCCATGCCACCTCAATCTGCCATGTGCCACTTTCAGGGTCTCCTCACACTGCTGGTGTGTTCCATTTTTTGTCATAGGGTGCTGGCAGATTACGGGCCTCCCATAGCTGCTGCCAGGCCCCTAATCTGCCATGGGCCCCTGTACCGCCTCCCTCCTCATGCTGCTGCCAGGTCCACAGTGTCTCATGCCATGTGCCACTTTCAGGTCTCCTCACACTGCTGGTGTGTTCCATTTTTTGACATAGGGTGCTGGCAGATTACGGGCCTCCCATAGCTGCTGCCAGGCCCCTAATCTGCCATGGGCCCCTATACCGCCTCCTCATGCTGCTGCCAGGTCCAGAGTCTCTCATGGGTCCCTGTACGGCTCCCCCATTGCTGCTGTCTCCATCATCGCCACACTCTGCCATGTGCCACTTTCAGGTCTCCTCACACACTGCTGGTGTGTGTTCCATTTTTTGTCATAGGGTGCTGGCAGATTACGGGCCTCCCATAGCTGCTGCCAGGCCCCTAATCTGCCATGGGCCCCTATACCGCCTCCTCATGCTGCTGCCAAGGTCCAGAGTCTCTCATGGGTCCCTGTACGGCCTCCCATTGCTGCTGTCTCCATCGCCACACTCTGCCATGTGCCACTTTCAGGTCTCCTCACACACTGCTGGTGTGTTCAATTTTTTTTGTCATAGGGTGCTGGCAGATTACGGGCCTCCCATAGCTGCTGCCAGGCCCCTAATCTGCCATGGGCCCCTATACCGCCTCCTCATGCTGCTGCCAAGTCCAGAGTCTCTCATGGGTCCCCTGTACGGCCTCCCATTGCTGCTGTCTCCATCGCCACACTCTGCCATGTGCCACTTTCAGGTCTCCTCACACACTGCTGTGTGTGTTCCATTTTTTGTCATAGGGTCTGGGCAGATTACGGGCCTCCCATAGCTGCTGCCAGGCCCCTAATCTGCCATGGGCCCCTATACCGCCTCCTCATGCTGCTGCCAGGTCCAGAGTCTCTCATGGGTCCCTGTACGGCCTCCCATTGCTGCTGTCTCCATCGCCACACTCTGCCATGTGCCACTTTCAGGTCTCCTCCTCACACTGCTGGTGTGTTTCCATTTTTTTGACATAGGGTGCTGGCAGATTACGGGCCTCCCATAGCTGCTGCCAGGCCCCTAATCTGCCATGGGCCCCTATACCGCCTCCTCATGCTGCTGCCAGGTCCAGAGTCTCTCATGGGTCCCTGTACGGCCTCCCATTGCTGCTGTCTCCATCGCCACACTCTGCCATGTGCCATGCCACTTTCAGGTCTCCTCACACACTGCTGGTGTGTTCCATTTTTTGTCATAGGGTGCTGGCAGATTACGGGCCTCCCATAGCTGCTGCCAGGCCCCTATCACACATCTGCCATGGGCCCCTATACCGCCTCCTCATGCTGCTGCCAGGTCCAGAGTCTCTCATGGGTCCCTGTACGGCCTCCCATTGCTGCTGTCTCCATCGCCACACTCTGCCATGTGCCACTTTCAGGTCTCCTCACACACTGCTGGTGTGTTCCATTTTTTGTCATAGGGTGCTGGCAGATTACGGGCCTCCCATAGCTGCTGCCAGGCCCCTAATCTGCCATGGGCCCCTATACCGCCTCCTCATGCTGCTGCCAGTCCAGAGTCTCTCATGGGTCCCTGTACGGCCTCCCATTGCTGCTGTCTCCATCGCCACACTCTGCCATGTGCCACTTTCAGGTCTCCTCACACACTGCTGGTGTGTTCCATTTTTTGTCATAGGGTGCTGGCAGATTACGGGCCTCCCATAGCTGCTGCCAGGCCCCTAATCTGCCATGGGCCCCTATACCCTACCACCTCCTCATGCTGCTGCCAAGTCCAGTCTCTCATGGGTCCCTGTACGGCCTCCCATTGCTGCTGTCTCCATCGCCACACTCTGCCATGTGCCCACTTTCAGGTCTCCTCACACACTGCTGGTGTGTTCCATTTTTTGTCATATTTTTTGCAGATTACGGGGTGCTGGCAGATTACGGGCCCCCTAGCTGCTGCCATAGCTGCTGCCAGGCCCCTAATCTGCCATGGGTCTCCTGTCCCGCCTCCTCATGCTGCTGCTCCAGGTCCACAGTGTCTCATGCCATGTGCCACTTTCAGGTCTCCTCACACTGCTGGTGTGTTCCATTTTTTGTCATAGGGTGCTGGCAGATTACGGGCCTCCCATAGCTGCTGCCAGGCCCCTAATCTGCCATGGGCCCCTATACCGCCTCCTCATGCTGCTGCCAGGTCCAGAGTCTCTCATGGGTCCCTGTACGGCCTCCCATTGCTGCTGTCTCCATCGCCACACTCTGCCATGTGCCACTTTCAGGTCTCCTCACACTGCTGGTGTGTTACATTTTTTGTCATAGGGTGCTGGCAGATTACGGGCCTCCCATTGCTGCTGCCAGGCCCGTAATCTGCCATGGGCCCCCGTACCGACCTCCTCATGCTGTGACGTTGCAACAAGGTGGAATTCAACCCTACATATGTTAGACCGCCTTTACGAACAGCGAAAGGCCATCACAGATTTCCTGATGTTAAAAGCGGATAAAGGTACTCCCTGTGTAACTTAGATGTCAGCCATTGGCAGCTCATGCGTGACACCTGCGCTTGCTCAGGCCCTTTGAGGAGGCCACGCTATTCGTGAGTCGGCAGGACTATGGGCCATGAACGACGTCATTCCTCTGTTGCACGTCCTGGAACAAATGCTGTTAACAATGGCTGGTCAGGGTGCGGTAGACGTGGCGCACAGATCTCAACGCCACATGACCCCTGTGGGGGCAGGACAGGAAGAAGAGGAGGAGGTAGAGGAGGACATTGGTGCTCAGGAATTTATTGAGTGAAATGGGTGGTTTTTCCACTCACTCAGCGGACAGGAGTGGAGGAGCAGGAGCATCTGGTAGAGGAGGAGGAGGAGGAGACAGAGGACCCAGACGCACCGTGGCAGTATGCTGTGGAGATGGAGGCAGGGAGTCCCTCGCATTCCTTGGCACAAATGGCCCATAGCATGCTCGCTTGCTTGCGTAGCGACAGCCGAATAATAACCATCAGACAGAGGGATGACTTTTGGCTGTCCACCTGTTGGACCCTCGCTACCGTTCAAAAATGGTGGCCTTTTTCACACCTGCTGAGAGGGAGGCCAAAATAACGTACTATAAAAACCACCTATGTAGTCAGCTGGTCTCTGCCTTTCTGCGCCAACGTCCATCCTCAGACACTGGGGCCCTGTGCGCCTCGCGTTCCGCTGCCATGGCAGCAGGGGAGGGGTGGGGTGGTAGGAGCAGTGGCAGCTCCACCAGCAGCGGCTGCCTCAGTCTGCAGTCGATGATGATGAGTAGCTTTCTTCACCAGCGCAGTGAGGAAACTACTAACCAGCCGCAGCCAGCAGCAGCAGCAGCAGCAGCCAGTGGACCTGGAGCAGGACCTCAAACAACAGGCTTGGGCCTACTTGGACAGCACCCTGCCAACCGAGGTAGACAATCCCCTTGACTTTCAGGGCAACTCAACTTGACCTTTGGCCCCAACTAGCTGAATTTGCCCTTGAAAGGCTGTCATGCCCGGCCCATAGCGTGGCATCCAGGAGCGCTGTTTAGTGCGGCAGGAGGTATTGTAACTCCCGCGGAGGACACGACTGTCCACCCAAAGTGCTGGAGAGACTCACGTTTGTGAAAATGAATCAGGCGTGGATTAGTCTGGATTTCAAACCACCAGTGCTGACACAACTGACTAAATCCGCCATGAATCATGCCCCAAACATGTGCCACTTTCAGGTCTCCTCACACTGCTGGTGTGTTCCATTTTTTGTCATAGGGTGCTGGCAGATTACGGGCCTCCCATAGCTGCTGCCAGGCCCCTGCCATGGGCCCCTATACCCGCCTCCTCATGCTGCTGCCAAGTCCAGAGTCTCTCATGGGTCCCTGTACGGCCTCCCATTGCTGCTGTCTCCATCGCCACACTCTGCCATGTGCCACTTTCAGGTCTCCTCACACTGCTGGTGTTTCCATTTTTTGTCATAGGGTGCTGGCAGATTACGGGCCTCCCATAGCTGCTGCCAGGCCCCTAATCTGCCATGGGCCCCTGTACCGCCTCCTCATGCTGCTGCCAGGTCCAGAGTCTCTCATGGGTCCCTGTACGGCCTCCCATTGCTGCTGTCTCCATCGCCACACTCTGCCATGTGCCACTTTCAGGTCTCCTCACACACTGCTGGTGTGTTCCATTTTTTGTCATAGGGTGCTGGCAGATTACGGGCCTCCCATTGCTGCTGCCAGGCCCGTAATCTGCCATGGGCCCCCGTACCGACTCCTCATGCTGCTGCCAGGCCCGTAATCTGTCATGGGCCCCTGTTGTCGCTTGTTGGCATATTCCGCTCGTTCAGATGCTCCTTCTCCTGCTACTCCTCTTCACGGATTCCGTCAGCAGTCTTTCTTGGAATCCGTTTCCAAGAGACAACAGTTTGCGAGCACGCACCCGACGGTGCAGAAGCTGAACGTCCTCCTGTCCAAGTTGCTGCTGCCAGGCTCGTAATCTGTCATGCGCCCCTGTACCGCCTCCTCATGCTGCTGCCAGGTCCAGAGTGTGTCATGGGCCCCCGTACCGACTCCTCATGCTGCTGCCAGGCCCGTAATCTGTCATGGGCCCCTGTACCGCCTCCTCATGCTGCTGCCAGGTCCAGAGTGTGTCATGGGTCCCTGTACGGCCTCCCATTGCTGCTGCCAGGCCCGTAATCTGCCATGGGCCCCCGTACCAACTCCTCATGCTGCTGCCAGGCCCGTAATCTGTCATGGGCCCCTGCACCGCCTCCTCATGCTGCTGCCAGGTCCAGAGTGTGTCATGGGTCCCTGTACGGCCCCATTGCTGCTGTCTCCATCGCCACACTCTGCCATGTGCCACTTTCAGGTCTCCTCACACTGCTGGTGGTTTCCATTTTTGTCATAGGGTGCTGTATGGCCTCCCATTGCTGCTGCCTCCACCGCCACACTGTGGCTCCACACTCTGGTTTTGGCCCCGTGACTGCCCAAATGAGTGAAGTGTGCGGTGATTCTAAGATCGACGGCACTCATCTGCATGTCATACTGACTGTCAGTATTATTTCTCTTCCCCAGCAGACTCCAAGGGCATTTAAATTAAAGGTACAGTGTTCTGCACTAATATAAAGGCTCTCTGAAGCCTAGAAACACCCTTTTATAAGTTAAATTCGCAGCGAATATATTCGACTCGAATCAAAATTTTTTCCACGAATTCGCCGAATCAGTCGAATCGAATTTTTGAATACTTCGCTCATCTCTACTCACCACCAGTAATTTTAATCACTCCATGTCACACAACATACACTATATTGCCAAAATTATTGGGCTAGCCCTCAAAATTATTGGATTCAGGAGTTCCAATCACCTCCATGGCCACAGGTGTATAAAACCAAGCACCTAGGCATGCAGACTGCTTCTACAAACATTTGTGAAAGAATGGGTTGCTCTCAAGGAGCTCAGTGGATTGAAGCGAGGTACCGTGATAGTTTGCCACTTGTGCAATAAGTCCATCTGTGAAATTTCTTTGCTACTAAATATTCCACGGTCAACTATTAGTGGTATTATAACAAAGTGTAAGTAATTGGGAACAACAGCAACTCAGCCATGAAATGGTAGACCACATAAAATGACAGAGCGGGGTCAGTGCATGCTGAAGCACACAATAGTCGTCAACTGTTTGCAGAGTAGTCAATAGCTAAAAACCTCCAAACTTTGTGTGACCTTCAGATTAGCACAACAACAGTGTATAGAGAGCTTCATGTTATGGGTTTCCATGGCCAAGCAGCTGCATCCAAGCCTTACATCACCAAATGCAATGCAAATGCAAATCGTTGGATAGAGTAGTGTAAAGCACACTGCCACTGGATTCTAGAGCAGTGGAGATGTGTTCTTTGGAGTGACGAATCATGCTTCTCTGTCTGGCAATCAATCCAGTGGACATGTCTGGGTTTGTCGGTTGCCAGGAGAACGCTACTTGCCTGTCTGCATTGTACCAAGTGTAAAGTTTAGTGGAGAGGGGATTATGGTGTGGGGTTGTTTTTCAGAAGTTGGGTTTTTGCCCCTTAGTTCCAGTGAAGGGAACTCTTAAGGCATCAGCATACCAAGACATTTTGGACAATTTCATGCTCCCAACTTTGTGGGAACAATTTGGGTATAGCCCTTTCCTGTTCCAACATGACTGCGCACCAGTGCATAAAGTAAGGTCCATAAAGACATGGATGAACGAGTTTGGGGTGGAGGAACTTGACTGGCCTGAATCCTGACCTCAACCCGATAGAACACCTTTGGGATGAATTAGAGCGGAGACTGTGAGCCAGGCCTTCTCGTCCGACATCAGTGCCTGACCTCACAGATGCGCTTCTGTAAGAATGGTCAAACATTCCCATAGACACACTCCTAAACCTTGTAGACAGCCTTCCCAGAAGAGTTGAAGCTGTTGTAGCTGCAAGGGGTGGGCCAACTCAATAATGAACCCTATGGACTAAGACTGGGTTGCCATTAAAGTTCATGTACGTGTAAAGGCAGGCATCCCAATATGTTTGCCAATATACTGTACAAAGCAATGCACAACTGTTTCCACAGTTACATCACCAACATGATCTTAAAATATCAACCAAAGCATCCAGTTTGCTCCTTCCAAGGCCTCCTGCTCTCCAGCTCCCTCATCACTTCCTCCCGTGTTCATATCCAGGACTTCTCCAGTTCCTCTCCCATCCTCAGGAATCCTGACTCCAACCTATCTCCTACTCATCTCTTCAGGCAAAACTATACCAACTCAAGCTAGCAACTGAATTATACTTTTTTGATCAACTCATCCCCATGCAGCTGCCACACTTTATATAATTTCCCTTTCCCTTTAAATTGCAAGCTTTCACGACTACCCGTAACCATCTTGTCTTGAATTGCAGGGCTTTTTTTTCTCAGAGAATAGGTCACCCCTTGTCTCTACCGCCTACCCACCTTTGAGCACTGCCCATTGGTTCCACCCCCTACCCACCTTCCAGTGCTGCCCCTTTTAGTAATTTGTATGGATCTTGATGATAACAAGAAAAATAGTAGAATAGATCACCTGCAGTCAGCAACAATAGACTTTCCACAACAAAATACCCGCTCAGCAACAATAGATCCCCAAGCAACAATAGACTTCCTCTAGCAACAATAGATCTCCAAGCAGCCAGCATCAATAGACTTTTCAGCAGCCAGCAACAACAGACCCACCTCAACAGTAAATCCCTCCCAGTAACAATTGACCCCCCAGCAACAACAGATCCCCCATTGCCAATAATAGACCTCCCCAGCAAAAAAATACCTCCCACAGAACAATAGATCCCCTTAGT